AGGGGATTGATTTGATTAAAAAGACACAAACTTATCACTGATGAACGATGAGACATGAATGAATCTCAATCTCAATTAAAACTAGTTTCTTTGCAAGTAAAAGTATATAACTACATGGTTAATGATGTACTCAATTACAACTACTATATATATAAGTATTTTATGCCGTAGTTGTACTTTCTAATTGTAAAAGTAAATATATACATTATATACTACCCAGAGTAATAGTTCTATTTTTTGTGCAATTTTAGAAGCATTTAAATCACTCTTTTAATACAAAACTTCAAGGTGTGTAAAACTGAATTTGGTTTAAACCACAATCCACATATTCTCTGAGCTCTGTCCAGTCACAGCCTGCAGTGCAGAGTCATTATGTGTGTTGGTAAATATAGAAGAAGCAGAAACAGCAGTGAGACCGCTGTACATTTGGACAAATGGGACTTGTACACTACTCAATAACTACCGTACTATGATTTTGAATGTGATAAAGTATGATTACATGCTAAAATTCTGCTAAATTACAACTGCTTAAACAGGTTTAAAAGCTATTAAAAAAGTACAGTTACCCAAAATATCTACTTAGTTACAGTACTGAGTTACTACACGTGCAGAGAGTTATAGATAGAAAAAAGCACAGGGGGTCTTGTCCACATGTGTCCAATCTGTCAGTGGTCACTCAAGCATCAACATGTCGTCCTCTGATGTGTGACAAGGAAAGGGGAAAATAGCTTCTCTAGTTTTAGCAACAAAGGCTCATGTTTGTTTTACATGAATATCCACAACTAACTACTCTGTGCTCTTTTAATGTGACAACAATTTTAATGTAGGAAAATGTCATTTATAACGAGCTTTTCTGCCTACTACTGCCTCTGTCAACTAATGTTGTCACAATACAAACATTTCAAAATTGATGAGGAAAAGGTTTGAGGTTTTTCAATACAAAATTCTAATTTCTTAATATGGTTTTATACTGGTTCTGATTCTATTCATTTTATGAGTATGATTTACTAAACATTGCCATTTTTACCAATCCAGCTCTTCTGCTTTGGATCCAGATGATGAACATATAGAGCTCCTACACCTGCGTGACTAACTTTGATAGGGACACCACATTGGTAGAGGTAATGAATGGCACCAAGTCTGCTTTAGGATTTTTTTTGTCTTTAAATTAAAACTAGTCTAGATTAAACATTATTGACCCTTACGTGGCACAGGAGTATAGATCAGGTAGATTTTGTCTTAACTCTGCAATGGACATCTGGTTACTTTTCACCTTTTTACATCATCAGAAAGAGCCTCTGGAGATGTTTCCAAACATCTCCAGGGACTTATAAAGCCCTGTACGTTTAATAATTCACAATCGCTGAAACTCTAATAAAGTTACTTAATTATGGCCATCACCCTTTTCTGATCCACGACCACTGCTGATATTGAGTTTGGAAGTAGTCATAAACATTAACTTCAACTTTAAAATATATGGATTTTCTGCATATAATAAAATGCAAACTCCATCTTGCCTTAAGCCTGCACGATCTTTCATTTGTTGCTCCAAATCATTCACATGTATTATTCCGCATCTTCCTCTGCTTCTTATATCAGAATACATTATGGAGCCTATGGTAACGAAGAAGTACTTTACCAAAGGCAGCTGGAAGATGGAGGGTTGGTTTTTGAGAAGGACGAGGTAATGAAAATGCAGACTTCAGAATCCACATATTGTGAGAGAGCTGCAGGAGCGGAGAAGTGCGGAGATAAGAGCTGATAGGGGCCGAAATTGGGTTGGAAGGAGTCAGGGAAAGAGAAAGAGTGGAGGCAGCGAGGAGCAAAGCATGATGGGAAGAAATGGCCAGAGAGCGTTGGTGTTTAATGGGGGGTGAAGGCGGCCGGTGTAACAGACAGGAGCAGCCTGGAGGTTAGCGGGCGTCTTTGTTCATGTGCACTTTGATGTTCACACATTCACAGGGAGCACAGATGGAATCCTTATTAACTGACCAGCCACAACATTATGACCAGAAGAAGGGGATGCATGAATAACAGGAATAGATTTTGATCGCAGTATATCGTACAATAATTACTATATTGACTCATCGTTCAATCAATAATATATGCAACAGTCATTTTGGGGAGTGAATATTTACCATGTGTGTATCCATAGACTGTATAAAGAAGTGGACTAAGAGACTGTGACATCACCCATAACGTTTGGCTTCAGTCAAATGAACCTCACAAAGCGAATTTGAGTTTTCATTTCATATTAGGAATAGGAATTTATTTACAGAAAAAAATAGCAAAATAAAAACACCAGGATCATGTAGAGCAGGTTAGTATGAACATTTTAAGATCAAAATAATGAGGCTTATGGTAGAAGTTTCATAGAGATGTGTAAAGTCAACTGGAGCCAGAGTCAATGGAGCCGGAACTGCCCCCATGCACACTTCCTATTTGGAACGTGACGGCTAGAGGATTAGCTTTTCCAGTTATATATCTATGTGTGTACCTTTTCTTTGTACTGTTTTTTTTTTTTGTACATTTTTGCAATATGGTAAGATATGGTAAATGGTCACATTTTCTGTATAGCGCTTTTCCGCCGTCAAAACACTCAAAACACTGCACTGGCACTGGCAAGGAAATACTCACACATACATATGCTATTGTACACAGACACTGGGGGTGAGGTGGATTAAGTGTCTTGCCCATGGACACAATGACAGTATTCATCTGTGGGAGCATTTGTATTCATCTGTATCAGTAGTTTAAGCATTTAGTTGGTACTATCGTTTTTGGATTGATTAGTTCATGGTTATCATTTTTACGACTGCTCAGTGGATGTCTTAATAAAAAAAAAACTGTCTTCCCAGATTAGTTAAAAAGTAGAAAGAATACAGTGTTTAAAAACATCAGAAATTGTCTTGACTCCTCCAAAGCCTGAAGCTAAAATCACAGTTTCTGGCCAACAGAGTGAGTAAAGGTGTGTGTAGCAGTGATACCGAATGTGCCAAATGTGCCTCAGACACTCAGCTCAGAACAAACGTCCCAAATGACAGAGTTATTAATGAGCAAAACAAATGTGGTGCTGTAATATAATTTATCTTTATTTACAATTACAATTACAAAACATATTGGGGTGTACCATAGGACCTAAATGTGCAGGCTATTACAATGAACAAACATCAACGTTGACAACAAGTGTACACATTTCTTCTTAATATAGATGGTAAAACTGAACTTTTTTTTCCAGAGTTATTCATTCATTCCAAATAATCAGTATCAGGGTTTGTAAGGAAATATGTCTATTAGGGTCAATATTTATGGTGAGTACTTTTACCTTTACTGGAGTTCAAGTAACTTATAGATGAATAGAGGTGACCTGAAGAGAATTTTTTTTCTTATTATTTATTTGTAAAGGGACAGCACATATTAATGAGCATTTAAAATATAAATATTATGATTATAACCAGTGTGGCTAATTTCCGTCAGTCCCTCAGCAGGTTGTTGAAAAGTGACAGTCACACAAAAGTAAATGCAACACCAACACTCACTACATACAGTAATAAGCAGAGTTAATTTTAAGATTAGAAGTTAAAGGAACAATTTGGAATTTTGAACATAGGACCTCATTTCCTAGTGAGTGTTGGAGATGTGTGGAGACAGTTTTTTAAATATTCCATGCAATCCCTGTATTTGCAGAGGTCGCTGATGCTAGGCGAGGGCATGTCAATGGCCATAGTTAACCTAAAAACAGCCTTACCCACTCCACAAAGCACCCGAAGCAAATCTACTATTACGCCATACTGTCAATGAGAATGTCTGTGTTGACATAATAATTTTAGAAGTAAAAACAACCTTGCATTTGAAGGATTTATGTCAGAGCAGCAGCAGTGAGTTGTACTTCTTGAGAGAAAGCTTGGCAGCGGCTGACTGATATCACCTAGCACCTATGTTACCGGTGAAGTAAAATTCCGTTACTGCTGAGAAAATAGTCCCTCAACATGCAATTCATGAGATGCAAGGTTAGTTTGATTTCAAATATTATTCTGTTGACAGAGACATTTACATTGATAGTCTGATGTGATAATAGATTTGCTTTGGGTGTTTTGTGGAGTGGGTAAGACTGTTTTTAGTGGCAGGCTAATTATGGCCATTGACATGCACTAGCCTAGCACCAGCGACCTCTGCAAATACAAGGACTGGCTAGAATTTTTTTTTTAAATGTCTCCACACGTCTCCAACACTCTGACTCACTAGGAAATGAGGTCCTATGTCCAAAATTCCAGACTGTCTCTTTAAAAGTTAAACCAACAACCCCTGAACAAAAATGTAACTTTGTTAAACATTATGACATATTACTGTTTTAAAGCTTTAGAAATGCTGCCAGTGTTCAGGTTGAATTAATACTGTAACTTCTATGAGTCATTATAGATACAAACTAACTACTAAACTGTTTCATTATGCCATTTTTAACAATATTTAGATTTATTTTGTAATAATCCTGCTTTAGGGTTATTGTGTCAGTGGCATGAATCCGTTTCAATATTATTGCTTATCGTCTCTAATTACTGAATCAATTCATCGCACTTCAAAATTTGTTATCATGACAGGCCTAGTTTAATATGCACCACCTGTACACTTTCGAGCATGCAGCTTCCTAATGTAGCATCTGTAATTGCGTTGTGCGTTATATTGCCAAACCCAATCACTTCTCATCGTTCTTTGCTGCAAGACTTGAGCAGTGATCCTATGACCGAGCTGTGTGTGTGTGCTGAAGATAAACAACAAGACAGATGGGTTCAATGAGACACAACTCCTACATGATCTGTGTACAACGCTGGCATTATGTCGACTAAAAGAGCCTCAATCATTATTCAGCTGTAGAGGAAAATATAACCAGCCGCTTAGTGAAAGTCTGCCTGGTACTTTGTGTTCTTTGCTGAGTCCATATGAATCAGCCTGTTTGTTTATACTACATTAAAACTAACCACAGTCTCTATCATGTGTTTTAGGTGCTGCTGTCTGGACTGATCGGAGTGGTGTCCTGGAAAAGGCCGCTTTCTCTTGTGGTGAGTCAACTCTCAAATATATGTTCTAATGTTTTATTTGATTTGGCTGTGTTCACAATTACACACACATCAAAACGGAGAATTAACTGGGACTAAACTAGGGCTGCGACAATGAATCAGAATAATTGACTATAAAGATCCTATAAAGATCGACTGATATGGTCTGTCGATATCGAGGGGCAATTTTGATAATTTTCCCCAAATTATTTAATTTAGATTGCGCTGTGTAGTCACATTTTCTGCAATTATCTCTTCATATTAAAGCGTAAGATAAAGCTTTGTGTGAATGTATAGGCAGCAGTTTTCCCGTGATAGTAAAGCTAACAACAACTAGCATACTAATGTGCACTTCCTGATTATTGGACACTGCAAAGCTTTAGATGCAGTCAGTACACAGCAGATTTATTTTGATCTCAAGAGCTGCTTATACAGTTTATCTGTAGGAGCCAGACATAGTATTTTGCTTACAGGCATAGAAAATATCTGCTACAAGGCCTTTAAGCTTAAACTGGCTCAGTTTTATGAAAGAAATCTCTAAGGCACAAAAAATAATCATTTTACTAGCCAATTCATCAAAAAATAACAGTGCACTATGTAATTCTTCTTCTTCTTCTTCTTCTTCTTCTAACTTATAATAGTAAATAATAGTTAGTTGTAGCCCTAAACTAAACCTGGACTGGAACAGAACCAAACCAAGTCTACATGGGACCAGACCAGGACCAAGTGATCGCAGCCTAAATCTGCATGTTGTGATGCAGACACCTGGCACGTCTTTGTGAACCAGGAGCACTGACTCATAAAAACAGGCTGCTCTTTAGTTCTTCATTGATGTCTGTGATTACAGCTCATCATCTGAACACTTTGTTGCACAGTGTGAAACATCATCAACATGTAAAACCTGTCATGGCACTTTACACAACAGAGGCATTTTCAGTAAGAAGAAACATTTTAAATCAAGTGCATTTTAATTAAATTCTAAAATATGTAAAGATGCACTATGCAACTTATTGTCTCCATGGAGAAGTTACTGCTTTGCCTGGAATGTCCTACAGTATACTATTAAGTGTATCTATTTGTATCAATTTGTCAACTGGATAAAAGTTTATTTTGGATGAGCTGCGAAACATATTCGACCAAAATAAACTTTTGTCTGGTTCATAAGTTAATTACAAGTATTTTTATTGATCAAAACTACATGCATTCTCAGTGTAGTTGCCTTTCCACAGATCTGACCTGTAACTTCACCTTGTACCGTCTCTTGCTTGTTACTTTGGAAATGAATACGTTTTATGTCGTGCTGTAAATTCTAGGCAAACAAAAGCATCTCCATGGAAATAAGCAGTTGGCAGACCCTTCACCAGAAAAGTTACACAGTGCAACTTTAAGATAAGATTTGACCTCAGCCAAATGTTGACAGTTTGTTGATGTTAAAATTTCAGAGCAGAACTTTTGAAACACAAACTCAAGACAAATCCCACAAATGTCGAAGCTATAATTTTATCAGATGACTTTGCAAACTGAATCACATGAATCTTGTTGATGATTGCCCTGTCTATTAGTGACAATAATAACATCTGTGTGATTGATTTAAAGAGGTACATTTTGAAGCCATATTAAAACTAATGCTCCTCTAAGTTCATTTGTGCTGACAGAGAAAGAACTATTACATTACATGATTGAAGCCTCTCCCAGATTTAGGTTTTATTCACATTGTGCTGACTGATATCATATAATTTACCTTACATTAATTCTAATACTTTTGTCAGCTTTTCCTAAGAAACTATATTGATTTATGAAACTAAAATATGGCCTCCAGCCTTTCCGGAAATATATTCATGAGTCAACCCAATTTGCATTTTTACTGTGAGCAGAGAAATGAGAGGAGGGTTTGCCAGAGCATAATCAGACAATGTCACTGTCAGATCTGTGAGACTTTAGATACACTGGGATGAAGTTTGTGTGAAAGGTTCAATTTAAAGGTGGTGGAGGATTTGGGAGGATTAAATCATGAGTTGTTCAATCTGATAGGACTCGCTGTGTAACTTTGTAGGCCACCATCTTGTCTCCATGGAAGATGTTACTGGTTTGTCTAATGTTCCAATATGTGGCATTCAAGGGACAGACTGGAATTTTGGACATAGGACCTCATTTCCTAGTTAGCCAGAGTGTTGGAGACATGTGGAGACACTTTTAAAAATATTCAATCCAACCCTTTTCGCTGGTGCTAGACTAGTGCATGTCAGCGGCCATAGTTATCCTGCCACTAAAAACAGTCTTACCCACTACACACAACACCCGAAGCAAATCTGTTATTACGCCAGACTGTTGATGTGAATGTCTGTGTCGACAGAATAATTTTAGAAGTAAACAACCTTGCATTTGAAGGATTTATGCCTGAGCAGCAAGCCCTGGGGTTTCAAAATGGCCACCCATTCAAATCAATGGGCCGAGCTCAATGGCGCATGATTCCAGATTAGCCTTTAGCCCGGTTAAGTACTTCCGGTGGCCGACCAAGCATGCGCAGTAGTGCTCTTTTCTCCTGCGGGCACACGTGAATGCACGCGAGCACACACAGAGTGCGGGTTCGCGTATCACGTGATCGCTTTGACCAATCCAGCCGTAGTTAATGATTATAAAGTGTTTTTTAAGATAACTGAAGGGTTTTGAACTCAGCCCCATGGGATTTTTTCCACTGAAGTTACAGTGAGTGTTACTACGTCAACTGGAGGCAGCTACAAGCAGCAATACCCTATCCAGTTATTTTAATAGATCCATGCTGAGCAGCAGCAGTGAGTTGTACTTCCTGATAGAAAGCTTGGCAGTGGCAGACTGATATCACCTGGCACCTATCTTACCGACAAAGTAAAGTTCTGCTACTGCTGAGAAAATAGTCCCTCAAAATGCAACAATTCATGAGTGCAAGGTTAGTTTTATTTCAAACATTATTCTATTGACACACACATTCACATCGACAGTCTGGCATAATAAATATTTTGCTTTGGGTGTTTTGTGGAGTGGGTAAGACTGTTTTTAGTGGCAGGCTAACTATGGCCATTGACATGCACTAGCCCAGCACCAGCGACCTCTGCAAATACAAGGACTGGATGGAATATTTTAAAAAGTGTCTCCACACGTCTCCAACACTCTGGCTAACTAGGAATTGAGGCCCTATGTCCAAAATTCCAGTCTGTTCCTTTAAATGTGGATGTGGTATTTATGGCTCAAAAAAATCTGCATTGTTACTGTAAACATCATGGCCTTTCCACAGATCTGATGTGATACTTTGCCTGGTGATGCCATCTGCTTGTCTTCATGGAGATAAGTTTAAAGCAATACTGTGGAAAATTCTTAGCAAAAAACATAACATTTCCACGGAGACAAAGAAAAATGTTGCGCAGTTTACATTTAAGCATGAAGAATCTGTAATGAGATCATATTTTTGGCATGTTTGGTTGTAAAAAGGCAATGGGTAACTTACAGTACGCACAGGATCACTGAAATATTCACTATCATCATATTTCTTTTGTGGATCAAAGAGCATTCCACAACAGTGAGGTGTGAGAGGAAATTAGTCACACATTTTGCACAGAGAAATTAGCAAATCCTCTTACCTCTCTCCCCCGAAACAGCATGGCTAATTTAGTGTAAATCTTTGGTGGCGGCAGGAGAAATGTGCAGTTCTTTCCATCTTAGCCTCGTCCGTATGGGCCTGTGAGGGACCAAGACTCGCCCCAGAGAGGGAGGCACTGAAGCACCAGGTGGACTCTTTAAAACCAGAGCTCCAGGACCATCTGCTGACAGGGGCTGGTTGGGCTGACTGCCACTGTACACAAGACTAACTCGCTTTGGTAAATCACAGAGAGTGTAATGAAAAACAGATTAAAATAATGCCAGCATTTGTTTTGTTTTTTTTTAGTTTAGTTTAAGCTCATTACAAAATATACAGTACAACATTAAGCATTCAGCGTAGTTAACAAAGTGCATAATGTAAATGGAGCGCCCCTGAAGCCATCGTCCTTCACTGTTATCTCCCTACCTATAATGCATTTATAAAGAGCCCACATTATTCTACTTTCTGATCTCTGTTACAATGTTGTTTCCTCATCAAAAACAGACCTGGAGTTGTGTTTTGTCTCATTCACACATGTTTAATACACAAATCCTGCATATTTAGGCTGAGTTCTTTGCTCAAACAGAAAACAGTCCACTACCTTGTGATGTCATGTTGTAATACAGGAAGTGCTTCACTGTTTTTAAACGTCATATACCAGAGGTCACCAGCTTTTTTCTCTGGGGGCCACATTATCGCCCCTGACTGTGATTGGGGGGTCGGGTCGGCCGTATAACAGAATTGTACGACCCTGACGACTTTGATTATATTCTTTGAAAACTGATACACTTTATTTACATATCAGACAGACTGCACGGTCCTTATACTGAACAAAAAAATAATCAGTCATTCACTGTTCTTTGAAAACTTGGCACACTCTGTTAACTTTTCGTACTTTAACACTCGCCATTTTGCTGCCCTTAACTGCACTACAAAACTCTGCACATGTGTTGACTGTCGCTGTTTGATCTCGAACTTGTCAGGTGACGAAAATGTAAATATGTCATATAATTATTTAAATATAAATATAAATACTTAATATAAACATATTTTATTGATTGAAAAAATAAATAAAATACAATAATGATAATATTTTCCAAAAAGTAATAAAAAATAGGACATGACTTTTGAGGATTGCCTCTTAGGGCCAGTTCAAGTGGTGGGGGGCAGAGGGGCTGGGGGGCTGGTCAAAGAGGCGTGGAGGCCTGGAGTTGGCCCATGGGCCTTAGTTTGATGACCCCTTTTATACACCTTCGCTAGTCCTGGAATTGCCAATCTTTACTGAACAAAAGGTAAATCACCATTGTTAACTTGAAAACTACCACTTCATGTGACACTCACAAGGTGCAACAGAACATTTTGAGCTTTAGAGATGTAGACAAACTAATAT